AAAAAAATAACTTGTTATCAGATGACGACTGGTTCACTGCTGCTGATTGTCTTTTGATGTCAGGCGTCCTTTACAATCCTTGCTCATGTGCCCAGTACACAAGCATGCAAAGCAAACTCCCTTTTCCCTAAGAAAGCCTATCTTTTCCTTATGCTTCTTTGAATTGAACTGATCACACTTCTCCAATGAGTGATTATTAGAACAGCATAGGCAATCATTCTTGTCAGCCTCCCCCGAGTCTGATTTTGAACTCCCAACTCCTGAAAGTGAATCTATGTTGGCTACTGTAGTAGCAAAAGTATTTCCCTTCATTCTTTCCTTGGGCTGACTTAAATCTGATCAATGTCTTTGTTCCGGTGACACTAAACGATGACTCCTGAATATCACCAAACAAGGGGTCAGAAAGAATTCGGACATGACGTTCTATGAATGTGACCAGATCAATAAAACAAGCTCGACAGTTACATGTTTCCATTATGTCATAAGCTGTTATTCTCCACTGATCCCTCAGCTTGAATGGCAATTTGGAAATAACACTTTGCATGTTTGCAGGTATATATATTTCCTGCATGTACTGGAGCTCCTCCACTACATTGCAACAGCCACGCAAGAACAAAGCATAAGCTTGCAGTGATTTCACATCCTCAGACTTCACTGGTTTCCAAGCCAGAGCCTTTTCAATATAAGCAGTAGCAATTTTATACTCATTGCCAAAGTGTTCCAGTAAAATATTCTTTGCTACTGTGTAACCATGCTCAGAAGCCATGTGTTGACAACTACACACCAGCTCTCGTGGCTGTCCACAAGTAAATTGCTCTAAATAGTACAAACAATCTACTTAACTTGCTTTTCCTTCCACACCTTGTTCGAAAGCTTTTATAAAGGTTCTGTATTGAAGTGAATTCTCATCAAATATGGGAATATCTCTTGGTGGCAATGACATTGAACACTTTTGTTGAAGCAAGGCAGCTGTGATCTAATTTTGCTTATACATGATGGTGAGTATACCATCAGGTGGATTCTGACCAGTTGCATCATAGTATACAGCCTGCTTTCCTTTTGATTGAGAAGTTGTATGCTGTGATGTTCCCTGAGCAACTGTTGTCTGCCGTTGTTTATTAAAAGTATACTGTTGACTTGTAGCAGTGTTAATCCGACACTCACTTGTCTTAGGTCGCACATCAGCTATTTGGACAGGTGGTAATGAACAGACACTTTGTTGAACTGTTTTCCCTTCTTCAGGCTTGTATTCTGTTGCCATAGGGGTTAACCTATTGCCAGATTTCCTTTTCTTTCCTTCCTTTTCCAAGTGGGAATTCATGACACTTGCAGATCCTTGAGTAGAGCTTTTTCATTTCAAAAGCCTCCAACACTGCCAGCTTAGCAGTAGATGCAGTCAGTTCAGCCTCCAAATCGAGCTGTTTCCTTTTCCTCCTTAACTGCTGCTCTTGCTCCTCAAGAGCATGCCTATCCTTTATAGCTGCAATGTGAGCAACATGTGCAGCTCTATCTGCTTCTGTTTTTATCCTTGCAGAGGATGTAGTGCTGATTTTTGTACTGCTCATGCTGCTTTTATTTGAATGTTTACTTTCAACATTGGACACACTGTCATTTGGATTAATACCATCACCAATAACATCACATCCTCTTACAAACACATTATCTTCATTACACAAAACCCATTGGTTTGCATCAGCAATGCACTCATCATTAAACATAATTTTTGCCTTAAACCACGTTTCATGTTCTTCCCTTTCATCGGGTGGCAATAAACCCAATAAAGACTCGTGCATGCTTTTTGCATTATCACATACCTCAGTGAGCTCTTCAAGTGCACTTTGTTCTTGTAATTTGTCACCCTTTTGAATAGAACCTTGCAAGGATTTTCTTATATTATTTGCCTTTTTCAGTTTGGCTTTTCTGCCAGCTTGCAACTTATCCAACTTATCAGCTAATGCTTTAAATGAAAGCTTAACCACATGTTTTTCAGTTTGCACTTCCACATTGCTAGCCACACTTTGATTTTCTAACAGCTGACACACCAGACCCCACAGTATTATCCGATGTTGCGTTGCGTGTCTCCATAAGGATTAGTCTATTTTTAATAGTTTGTTGCAACAAACAGTCAATACCAAAGTTTATAATCCTCCTGCTTCGGCAGTCAGACCATTCAATTCATTTTAATTATGTGTGCACACAACTGAATGGCCATAAAACAGTGTAGCGCTACACATACCTCAGTGCTGTAGCGTCTGGACCAATCAAACACACAATATATATTTTGTTAGCTATATTTAACAAATACTCTGTAACACCCCTCAGTTAACAAGCCATATGAGGACCTATGGACCCTTCCCCCGAAATGCATAACACCTCAGGAAGGCAGAACAGGCCTCTGGTTCCATGGCAACGAAGTCTGATATCACTAGTTTTATTGCTCAAAGGAATGCAAGCAGAGAAACTCACACCTCATTTACCCTTAGGAAAGACACACAATGCCCAAAAATTGACTATTCTTTGGTTGAATTCTGAGAAGATGAAAATGTGAGCTACAACGCTCCAGGACAGCCTAAGTTTCGTGCCAGGCCTCGGGCCTCGGGCCTCGACTTTCCATTCACCAAGATAATCTGACTCAAACTGGTTCTTTTCCATCAACCAACTTCAGCAAAGATTAACTTGGGCCTTCAGATTGCATCAAAAATCTCTGTCAGACAGACAAGACGTGCAAGTATCAAACTTAGTTTTATTAATTGATACATTAGGTATCATTCGCACCTTTTTACAAAGGTGTGTTTGAACTAAGAATCTGATGTTTCCTTCAGGCTGTAAATCTGCTGAATATCAAATGGTTCCATTACTTCATTCTTTATTTCTCTCCTTTTTACTGCTTAAGCTTTAATCCTTTTCCTATACCAACTGTATGCCTTAGTGATGCGCGGATGGCGGTTATATCCGCGGGTGCTGCAGATAATCCGCGGATCGGGTGATCTGATTAATAAAAAAATGCATTCTGATTATTTGCGGGTGGGTTGCGGGTGGATAAAATAAATAATTAATGATGCAAGTATTAACTACATTTTCTAAATTATGAACGTGTTTTAAATAGGGGACAGAAATTGAATAAACTGTAAATTAACATTAAAAGTTATTCAACAAAACATTATTTAGTCAAGAGCAGTAAGGGATTTTCTCTGTCTTTTGTTGTTTGATTAACATTAATAAAAGGTTAAACAGCTTTATTAGGCTGCTGTCACAAGACTTATTTCACGGATCCAATACTGATACCCATGCGTTTTATTTTGCAACTGTTTACATTAACTTAAGACAAACCCGACAGTACTTTCTCAATTTGGTACTCTCAGTACTTTGGATGTGACTGTGAGCACACGCGACTCTGGAGAGCGCGAGTACCGAATGGCTTAAAAAGACGTGAAAATAATACATTACACGCTATATTGAATAAAGGTTTTGCAGTAATTTCCCTCATTTTAAAGTCGAAAGCTGTGGGAATGAGTAATGCGATGTATGTGCAAACCCAGCAACGAAATTCAGGATCTGATTAAACATAATTCTATTATACAGAGAAATATATTTTCATGACTTTTCAAAAACTTTTTAAGTTTATTTATTTTTACAAAACTTTCTAGGCCTGGTAATTGCTGTTCAATGACTTTTCCAGGTTTTTCATGACCGTACGAACCCTAATGTGATGATCGGGTGTGGTTATCTAAATCAGACAAAAATACAGGTGCGGGCGGTTGGCGGGTGGATAATTTATTTGAAGCTGCAGATTCGGGTGACGTTTTAGCTCATCCGCGCATCACTAGTATGCGTGTGTGTGTGTGCGTGTGTATGTTAGACTAGTTTAAGTGTTTATGTAGTATGTTGGACTAGTTTAAGTCTTTATGTAGTTAATAAAGTCTTACTTGTATCACTCTTGACGTTGTTCATTGTTTGCCCATAACTGGAGTCCCTTAATCATGCAGATTTATGCTACAGGCTCTGTACCTTAACCAGGAAATTAACGTTCTTAGAATTGACAGACAGTTGACCCTGAGAGGTCAAGTAAATACTTACAGCGGATCTAAATATTTATAATTAATGAGCTGATTCACTACAGTACGTTGGGCGCCATTAGATGATCCGATGTTGCTGTGTTCTTCAGCTGGCTTTAGAAGCTTATAGATCCAGCATCACGACATCCTTTACACTGATGGCAAACCGCAGAAGCACTCCTCGGCACAGACGAAATCCAGCGACTCCCGTTAACACCGCGTCCTCCTTCATCTTTGATGTATCCAAACGTGCCGAAGTTCCAAACAAAGTTCCACATGCAAGGTTTTTTACTTGAATTATAGGAGTTAAATCGAATACTTTAAGCTACTGAGTTGTTTGATCCCGGAGTAATTGGGTTGACGCGCTTTCTTGCTTTGATGTATGTTGTTTACTTCCTCCATTACAAACGAGAAGACCATTCTTCTGTTTGCATCACCATACACAATTTATTGGCTCCACATACCACCAGCGTGCATAATGTCCAATTTAGTATCCAATACATACACTACCAGAAAGTCTTACACATGTCCATCGTCTTTCCCGCTGTTGCGGTCAAAAATCTTTTGCCCTTCCGGGTCAAACACCTACCTACAACAGTAGGAAGGCAACCTATATACACTGAAATCTCTGGAAGGTTCACAGTGCCACTCAATGTTCAAAATGAGAATAACACATCACCTTTTTACACACATTTTGGCTCCTACAATGGCATACTGGCATGGCTCAAGGATCTTGTTGTTCATGCAGTTAGATGAGAGCACATCTTTAGAAAGCGTCATATATCAAATGACCATGAAGGCATCATAGACATAACAGTGTGACTTTCTGTAAAGCTGCTTTGTAACAATGCGTTTTCACAATTTGTGAAAAGACATGAAGCGAAATTATGTTTGATTGACTTTATGTAGTTGGTGCTGGTTTAACACTGTCATCCTCTGTTATAGACTTGCTGGATGTTGTCTCTCTGATCACCACTGTGAAAGTTTATCTTCTGCTCTACAATCATCAAACTCCCGTCTGAGAGAACTGGACCTGAGTAACAATGACTTACAGGATTCAGGAGTCAAGCTACTCTCTGCTGGATTGAGGAATTCACACTGTCAACTGAACATACTGAGGTCTGTCTTTCTCTTTCACAATGTTCTGATGTGGATGTGTGGATGTATTTCCTAAATATTCACTGTTAAAAAATGTTTTAAATATCAGTAGTTATTACAAACTTTAGGCATCTGTGGTTGCCAGAATAATTTTGTACAAAATACATAAAAACTGTAAACACATTTACAGAACAAACTGTACATTTTACAGTATAAAATTGTAATTTACAAAAAAAATTAAAAAAATCTGAATGCAAACCAGTCAATTCAACAATGCACACTGCTACTAAAATCTGTTTTGTACCTTTAACATTTACTGACAACCTCTATAATGCAGGTGGTAAAAGAGAAAGCCACATGAAGAATCAGAGTTCATCACAAGTAGCTCTTCCACTAGCTGAAATATATGCTAATATACAGAAGGTGCACAGAGTCATTCACGCAAACACAAAACACCATCATGGTAACACAGAACACTTAAATAATGCAATAGACATTCATTAAACAACAGAAAATGTAACATAAATCCCTAATGTACATAACTAATAACAGAAACTAATAAGAAACAGGTTTATTTAAACAAAATACTTTCCAATGTGGAGCATCACACAGGGAATTCTGGGAATGAAAATGTACTGTAAATTATACATTGTTCTTTTTTACTTCTAAAAACTGTACAATGAAGTTACTGTTAAAGGGATAGGCCTAGTTCACCCAAAAATCTATATTCTGTCATTAATTGCTCACCCCCATGTTGTTCCAAACCCATAAGACCTAAATACCCAAGAGACATCTAGTGATCAGATTCTGAAAATGTATAGTCACAGATGTATTTATTCAGAGAAAGTTTTTTAACTCCTAAGAAACATCTAGTGGTTAGATTTTGAAAATGTAGTCACAGGTGTATCTATTTAACTAGTTCTCATTCTCTATTGTCTAACACCCTGACGAAGGCCTGTTTGGGCTGATACGCAATGGTGTTTTTTAACATGTAGCCCTGTCGCACAACAAAGGCTTTTTATATTTGGCCTGCTATGTGAGTGCCTGGACGTGGATTATTTTTGCTTCTTGCAATGGGATCCACTTTTTGTTTTTGCCATAAGACTTTTGTTCATCTTCGGAACACAAATTATGATATTTTTGATGAAATCCGAGAGCTCTCTGACCCTCCATAGACAGCAACACAACTGAAATGTTCCCAGGCCCAGAAACGTAGTATAGACATCCGCAAAATTGTGCATGTGACATCAGTGGTTCAACCGTAATTTTACAAAGCCACGAGAATACTTTTTGTGTGCAAAGAAAACAAAAATAACAACTTTATTCAACAATTCTTCGCATCCTCATCCCGTCTGCTGCGGCGTACCGCCATTTTGGAGAGTATCACGTCGCATGCGCCTGCTCTCCTTTTGCATGTAAACAAAGTATGTGCGTGCTGCTGCTTACACAAAAAAGTATTCTCGTAGCTTCGTAAAATTACGGTTGAACCACTGATGTCTCATGGACTATTTTACCGATGTCCTTGCTACGTTTGCTAAGTTAAGCTGCCTGCAACATTATCCTGCATGACCGGTCTGGATGGACACTGGTGCAGTCGGCCCTGGGTTCCTCCAGGTGCATGACAATGCCGGCCTTGTGCCCAGAGTGTGTAGGGAGTTTCTGGATGACAAAGGCATGATGCCATTGATTGGCTCAATCAATCAGTCAATCAATCAATCAATCAATCAGTCAGTCAATCAATCAATGTTTGTTTTAGATTTGAACTCATGTCATTCACATTGTTGACTAACGCTCTACTACTCTACTCTACTCTACTACTGAATTCACTTTGTGTGAATTGAGAGTAAGCCTTGTGTCACAATAAATATAGTCATGGCTCCATGACTAATTTTAGGCCTACATCAAATCACAAAGGGAATACAAACAATAAATTTTATGCAAACCTGCAAAATAATTAAGTTTCCCATCTTTATGTAAACCTTGATAATGTTTAATTTATGGAATAGGTATTTCGACGACTACCTAATGAATGATTCTTCAAATTAATAAATATTTATATAAATATATAGAAATATTGTACTATTTGGTGGCTTATTGATAGTGTGTGTAAATTTGGTTAATGCCTGTCAATTTGAGTCTTGTCATTTACTGGGTGTTTTGGCATGTTTTAATTACTGAACCCTTTTTGTTTTGTTCAGATTGGCAGGATGTAGATTGACTGGTCAGTGTTGTGAAAGTTTGTCTTCAGTTCTACAATCGTCAGACTCCCATCTGAGAGAGCTAGACCTGAGTAACAATGACCTGCAGGATTCAGGAGTGATGCTGATTGCTGCTGGACTGAAGAGTTCACAATCACAACTGAACACACTGAGGTCTGACTTTCATGTTTTCTTGTTCAATGTATGAATGTATGAATAAGTGTTTTAATTGGCATCTGATAACTAATAATGCAATTAGCTTATTAAATCTTTCCCCACCAGCGTTTATAAAAAAAAAGTTGCCAGCCACCACCAGTGTTTTTGATCATTTTCACTAAATTTTCCATGGCCCCCAGCATATTTTGTTGTATCTGATTATGCAATACATCAAAATAGAGAACAGAAAGAATCAAAACAAAACAAAAAAATTGGTTTTATTCTAGCTTAAAATGTTATGACTATTCTTAAAAAATTTATAAAATAAAAATAAAGATGACTTGACTTAGAAGACTAATCTAAGCTGTTAATGCAACCAGCTGCAGATATTGTTTAGTTAAGGATCAGAATACACAAGACTAATGTTTAATTCCTTCACGATGTAAAGCAGTTGTACATTGAGGCTGTTATTAAAGCATTATGCAGGGTCAGATTTCGTGGGAAATGTCAGTTTTTACATCAGTTGACTTTGAGTGGTACAACACATAAGAGACGAAGACAAAAAGAAGCATCTTTTTTTCAATAATAAAAAAAAATCTGGTGAAACAAAAGACTTCAGTTTCAACTGTAATAGTTCTTACTGCTTGTATTCATATCTGATGAGCAACATTATTGAAACAATGGTTGTTTAAAAGGCAACCATCTTTTGATTATTTTAAAGTGATTTAAGGGCAAAAACCCATTATAATAATATAACTAATCTAACTAGTCTCCAAGTTACAATTTAAAAGAAATACTTTGCTCAAGAGTGAAACTTGTAACATCCACATTTTAATTAGTAAACAAAAAAGTCATACACTTTTGGTACAATGTGTATGTTTGTGTTGGTAACGGAAATTTTAATGACCATTAATTAAATGAATTAAAAAATTGCCAGTAAAGCTTGCTATTTGCATAGGCAGTGTTTAAAAAAAATTATGTAGCAAATTATTTATCATTGTGCAAAACAATTCAGATTGACATTCCAAGCCAACACTGCTGGTAGTAATAGTAGTAGTAGTAGTAGTAGTAGTAATATGGTACATTAGTGTAGTCAGCCATCCAACTACTCTTACAACAGATGTTGGTTCTGTAAGTTTGTTGTGCCTTCAATTGATGCTCCCAGAAAACCTGCAAAAAAAATCCTTGACCATTCAGTGCTGTAATGTGTCTCTGTGAGGAGTTCCTTCTTTATTGTGGTGAAGTTACCAATTTAAATAACTTTTATATCAGAGTTTACCTGCTACGTAATGTAAAAAAATGTAAAACATTGCATCTGTAAATTGACACTTAACATTAAATATGCATATTTTTTATTACCTTTACCTCAGTGTACAGTGGCAGTTGGCTGCTATGATCCAAATGACGTGCATGCACATCAACCAGGTTTCAACATCGAACAAATATTATTTTGACCAAATGGGTTGGCAGTATATTGATGAGTCAATTTAATTTCAATGTTGAATTGATGTTTTTTTTCCCTTCTTTTTTTGGACCTAACAATATTTTGATTACCTGACCAAATAGTGACAGTTAAATTGACATTGAAAATTGTTGACAACTGATACGGGACCTTACAACCAAAAGTAGATGTTGAATCTATGTCTGTTTGCTGTCTGGGAAGTGATTATTGTAAATGTCAGTCAGAATGTGTCGGGGGTAGTCAACCTAGCTCCCGGACAGCATCTTTCCTCCATACTTCAGTTCCAACCCTGCTCTACCAACAAACCTGCCTGTTATTTTTAAGTAATTCAGAACACTTAAGTTTCAGGTGTGTTTGATTATTATTGGAGCTAAACTCTGCAGGATGGTAGCCCTCCAGGAGCAGAGTTGGCTATCCCTTGTCTAAATTTAATGAACAATAAAATTTGTTTTATTTCTTCCACTGCTCCGATCTCACTCAAGACTGCTGCTGTTACCCCTATTCTAAAAAAAAAACGAATCTGGATCCTGTAAAGTTATCTAAGTACCGTCCAATTTCTAACCTGCCATTAGTATCAAAATTATGGAAAAGGCCGTTGTCTCTCAGCTGCAGTCATTTCTAGCCTACAACAATCTCTTTGATATTTTTCAGTCTGGTTTTCGCTAACAGCACAGTATGGAAACTGCTCTAGTAAAGGTCATCAGTGATCTCTTACTTTCTGGTGATTCGGGCAGTTTATCAATTCTTTTATTACTTGACCTCAGCTCAGATTTCGATGCTGTTTGTCATAAGATATTACTCTCTCGCCTTGCAGAGTTTGGCATCTCAGGTTCTGCATTATCCTGGTTCTTCTCATATCTCACAGATAGACAATACTACATCTCACTGAACAATTCCAAATCTTCCAAGTCTCGCTCAAACAGGGTGTTCCCCAGGGTTCAGTTCTCGGACCATTATTATTCATCCTCTACATTCAGCCTCTTGGCCAAATAATTAGTTGCCATGGTTTTAATTACCACTGTTATTCTGATGACATCCAGATATACACTGCTTGTCAGCCAGATTCTACCCTTTCGATGGCTTCCTTATCTTCATGAGTCAGTGAGTTAAAAGACTGGCTACACTCTAATTTTCTTAGTTTGAACTTGAGTAAAACAGAAATTTTAATAATTGGTCCCCCATCTCTAATAAAAAATAAAACTAATGTTTCTAGCTTTGACCTTGACGCTATTTCTATATTTCCATCGACTACTGTTAGAAATTTATGTATCATTCTAGACCCATCACTGACCTTGGATGTCAGCAGACTCTCCAAAGCTGCTTTTTTTTCAGCTATGTCGAATTGCACAACTTCGTCCTTTCCTCAGTAGAAAAGATGCAGAATCATTAGTGCATGCGTTTATTACCGCTCACCTTGACTGTTGTAACGCTCTTTTTTCTGACTTACCAGCTCACTCCATCTTTCGTCTGCAGTACATTAAAAATTCTGCTGCCAGACTATTAACTTCCACAAAAAATCTGCTCACATCACCCCATTCTATTTAATCTTTACTGGTTGCCTGTATCAATTCGTGTGTAATACAAAATTCTTCTGCTCACCTTTAAGGCACTCAAAGGTCTTGCTCCCTCCTATCTTTCCGACCTACTCTCTTCTTATATTCCTTCTCCCTCACTCCGGACTTCTAGTTCAGAACTTCTTTGTGTGCCTAGGTTCTGCCTATCTTCAATGGGCAGCAGGTCCTTTTTTCTCACGGCACATAAACTTTGGAATTCGCTTCCCCTGGCACTTAGAATGGTCACCTCTTTCAGTGAATTTAAATCAAAGCTTAATTCTGATGACATCCAGATATACACTGCTTGTCAGCCAGATTCTACCCTTTCGATGGCTTCCTTATCTTCATGAATCAGTGAGTTAAAAGACTGGCTACACTCTAATTTTCTTAGTTTGAACTTGAGTAAAACAGAAATTTTAATAATTGGTCCCCCATCTCTAATAAAAAATAAAACTAATGTTTCTAGCTTTGACCTTGACGCTATTTCTATATTTCCATCGACTACTGTTAGAAATTTATGTATCATTCTAGACCCATCACTGACCTTGGATGTCAGCAGACTCTCCAAAGCTGCTTTTTTCAGCTATGTCGAATTGCACAACTTCGTCCTTTCCTCAGTAGAAAAGCTGCAGAATCATTAGTGCATGCGTTTATTACCGCTCACCTTGACTGTTGTAACGCTCTTTTTTCTGACTTACCAGCTCACTCCATCTTTCGTCTGCAGTACATAAAAAATTCTGCTGCCAGACTATTAACTTCCACAAAAAATCTGCTCACATCACCCCATTCTAATTAATCTTTACTGGTTGCCTGTATCAATTTGTGTGTAATACAAAATTCTTCTGCTCACCTTTAAGGCACTCAAAGGTCTTGCTCCCTCCTATCTTTCCGACCTACTCTCTTCTTATATTCCTTCTCCCTCACTCCGGACTTCTAGTTCAGAACTTCTTTGTGTGCCTAGGTTCTGCCTATCTTCAATGGGCAGCAGGTCCTTTTTTGTCACGGCACACAAACTTTGGAATTCGCTTCCCCTGTCACTTAGAATCTTCAGCTCTACAGTCATCAAACTCCTGTCTGAGAGAGCTGGACCTGAGTAACAATGACCTGCAGGATTCAGGAGTAAAGCTACTCTCTGCTGGACTGAAGAGTACAGAGTGTCAACTGAACATACTGAGGTATTTAAAAACACAAACAAAAACTGACTGATCAAACAAAACATGTTGTTATCATTCATTCTCTGGACTTGGGTGTTTGCAATGTCTCAGCAGACTACGTTGCTGTATTTTCTCCAATCTTTCACTTAAAATATCTGTTTAGGATTTTTAATGATTTTTAATTATTTGATACTTCTGATACTTCCTTACTGGTCAATGATACTGATACTAGTATTATACCAGTACCAGTATCCTAGTTCAACAGATATGTGCAGATTTTTCCTAGAGCATCATTCATAGACAGTATGCAGTGAGTAAGGTGAAAATTGCACAGTGAACCCTAACATTTTAATAGAAAGGTGCAGTCAATAGTTTACAGAGGCATAGTAGAGAATAAGCAAAAGCAAAAGGGTTGAGGAAAAACACAGTCAGCAACTAAGTGAACTGCACAGGTTGTTGTATGATGTCCAAAAAATGTGTTGCTGTGTGTTTGTAGATTGTCTGGCTGTAAGGTGACTGAGGAAGGCTGCTGTTATGTGTCTTCAGCTCTGAGTTCAAACCCCTCACACCTGAGAGAGCTGGATCTGAGCTACAATCACCCAGGAGAATTAGGAGTCAAGCTACTCTGTGATACATTGAACAATCCAAACTATGCACTGGACAATCTTAAGTATGTTGAGCAGGAACCACTGCTGTATATGTGTGTGTGTGTGTGTGTGTGTGTGTGTTTACTAATTGAACCAGATGTCCAGACATTGTGACACTGTGTATGTTTTACAGTGTGGATCATGGATGGGAGCTCAGGATTACAGCAGGACTACAGAAATGTATGGCACAAACACACACAGATACCATTAGTGATATTTGCTGTGTTGTAAATGTTCTCTCTTCTTCTGTTCAGATGCCTGCACTCTAACACTAGATCCAAACACAGCAAACAGTCATCTAATTCTTTCTAATGAGAACAAAAAGGTGACATATGTGGGAAAAAGTCAGTCATACCCTGATCACGCAGAAAGATTTGATGGATGGCCTCAGGTTCTCTGTAGAGAGAATCTGTCTGGACGCTGTTACTGGGAGGCTGAATGGAGTGGATATGCTGTAACATCAGTTGCATATAAACGAATCTGCAGAAAAGGATGGAATGAATTCTCTGAGTTTGGATACAATAGGAACAACAGAAATTCTTGGAGTCTGATCTGCTCTGACACATTCATTGCCTGTCATGATAATAAGGAAACTGTCATACGCGTCCCTTTATGCTCTTCTAAGAGAGTAGGAGTGTATGTAGACTGGTCATCTGGCACGCTGTCCTTCTACAGTGTCTCTAACACACTCACACATTTACACACATTCACTTCCACATTCACTGAGCCCCTTTATGCTGGATTTGGGGTTTATCGTTCAAACTCCTCAGTGGCTCTATGTGAGATTGAAAAGTCAAGTCAAGTCAAGTCACATTTATTTATATAGCACTTTTAACAATACAGATTGTGTCAAAGCAACTGTACAGCATTAATTAGGAAAATAGTTTGTCATTAATGCAAAATTACAATGGTAAACACTAAATTTTCAGTTAAAGGCAGTTGATTATTGAATTCATTGATGTCATCATCCAGCTCAGTTCAGTTTAAATAGTATCTGTGCAATCAAGTCGACGATATCGCTGGAAATGAAGTGTCCCCAACTAAGCAAGCCAGAGGCGACAGCGGCAAGGAACCAAAACTCCATCGGTGACAGAATGGAGAAAAAACCTTGGGAGAAACCAGGCTCAGTCGGGGGGCCAGTTCTCCTCTGACCAGACGAAACCAGCAGTTCAAATCCAGGTAGCAGCAAAGTCACATTGAGCAGAGGACTCAACTGTTTCCTGTGGTCTTGTCCCAGTGGCCGTCTAGGAGACAAGGTCTTTACTGGGGATCTGTCTCTGGGGCTCATCTAGTTGTCCTGGTCTCCGCTGACATTCATGGCTGTCGAGGTCATCTCTAGGTCCTGATCCACCATCTGGGCTGGATACACACTGGATCCGGGTGACTGCAGTGACCATCTGATCTGGATACAGACTGGATCTGGTGGCTACGGTGACCTCGGAATAAGAAAGAAACAGACTAATATTAGCGTAGATGCCATTCTTCTAACGATGTAGCAAGTACATCGGCTGTTATGGGAAGTGTTCCCGGTTCCGGTTGTCCTAATTAATGCAGCCTAACAATCCTTTAACGGATTTGAATATTAGAAATGTGTTTGTGTTATGTGTAAGCCAGGTTAAAGAGACGGGTCTTTAATCTAGATTTAAACTGACAGAGTATGTCTGCCTCCCAAACAATGTTAGGTAGATTATTCCAGAGTTTGGGCGCTGTTCCTGTCCTCATTGTATGTATTCGTCTCCAGCTGTGTTTTGATTCATTAGTTAATTTGCTCTCAGGTGTGTCCCATTGGTGTCTGTGTATTTGTTATCAGTTTTGTTATTCCCGAGTATAGCCCACAGAGGGCTTCTGATTCCCCGTCGAGGCCAAGGAGGGCTCCAGATTGTCAGTTAAGCCCAGGGAGGGTCCCAAATTCTCAGTTAAGCCCAGGGAGGGCTCCTGATCCCCAGTTAAGCCCAGGTAGGGCTCCAATCCCCGGTTATGGGCCTCGGAGCCCGAAATCTTCCCTGAGTTTTTTTTTGAGGGGGGACCGGAACTTTACCACACTACTAGACTGATCTGAACATGAGAATATGGTTAAAAATAACCTTCATATTTACTTTTAAAGAGAATACTATATCCTGCAAGGTTCTGTTCAAATAACAACAAGTACAGTAATAATCAAGTACAGAAAATAGTTATTTAAGATATTGAGGGGTAGCATCTAATTGTTATATATAAATGATATAAATCAATATGTACATTTACTGACATAGTCACCATTGATAAGCTACTACTAAATATATTGTAGAAACATATTGTCAGACTCCGGTCCATGTTTTGTGTGTGTTTTTCTCCACAAGTGCCGTCCTTACCCTTATTTGGTCCCTCCTGTTCCTGTCCTCATTGTGTGTATTCGTCTCCAGCTGTGTTTTGATTAATTCGTTCATTTGCTCCCAGGTGTGTCCCATTGGTGTCTGTGTATTTAACGTGTTATCAGTTCCTAGTTCTCTGTCTGCTGTTTAGTGTCATTTTGGTTTGCCTTCTGTTAGTTTTTCAAATTGGTATGTTTCGCCGGGCCGGTGAAGAAATATAGAGCTGAGTATCATAAGCATAACAGTAAAAGCTAACAATAATCTGACTCAAACTGGTTCTTTTCCATCAACCAACTTCAGCAAAGATCAACTTGAGCCTTCAGATTGCATCAGGAATCTGTCAGACAGACAAGACGTGCAAGTATCAAAGTTAGTCTTATTAATTGATACATTAAGTATCATTTGCACCTTTTTACAAAGGTGTGTTTGAACTAAGAATCTGATGTTTCCTTCAGGCTGTAGATCTGCTGAATATCCAATGGTCCCATAGCTTCATGCTTTATTTCTTTTCTCTTTACTGCCTAAGCTTTAATCCTGTTCCTATACCAACTGTATGCGTGTGTGTGTGTGTTCGTGTATATGTGTATGTTAGACTAGTTTAAATGTTTATGTAGTTAATAAAGTCTTACTTGTATCACACTTGACATTGTTCATTGTTTGCTCATAACTGGAGTCCCTAATCATGCAGATTTATGCTACAGGCTCTGTGTAGTATTGTACAGTAAGAAAGTTAATTCCCTTAACCAGGAAATTAACGTTCTTAGAATTGACAGAAAGTTGACCCTGATAGGTCAAGTAAATACTTACAGCAGATCTAAATATTTATAATTAATTATAACTAGTTATGATTAATTATTCATATTTCCCCTTTGAGCTGATTCGCTACACTGAATACAATTAACTGTATTTCGATCTATAATTTGTAACCGAATCTAATTTGTAACCATTCGAAATAACATTTTGAAGAAGTGTTGTTGGAGCTGTGAAGCAATATGTATATATAAGAATGTTAATATAATATGATCATTTTATTGAATTTTAATTTGTTATAATTAAGAAGAATATTTGTACTATTAATGTATGAGCTTTTATTATCACTTGTCCTGTCCTGATGAAGGAGTCAGTTATATTTTTGTAACAAGCAAGAGGCGTAGGAATAGAGTTTTCTTTCTTTCTTTTTTAAACTACAGTTTTCTTGCTAACACTTTTTAATTGTTTCATTGTTGTTTGCTTCAACCCACAGAGTAAAGAAAAACAACCCCAGCAGCAGTATAAAAGTAGCCCAATTCCACGGGAAAACAACATGTTTTTGCTTCCACTCAAAATAGGCATTTACAACATGGTATAATAAATGATCTGTTTGATATTTTGGGGGATGAATTTATGTTTTATTAAAAGTGTTGGTTTTAATGTTTTCTATGCTCATATCTATATTATTTTATGTTTTTACATATTCTTTTAACATTTACTGATAATAAAATTAATTTTAATCCAGTCAATACATCATACATAATATAATATATCAAATCAAATCAAATCTCTTTATTGTCACACATTGTGTACACTACACACGTATACTGATGGTGAAATTCTTAGGTACAAGACTCGCAGTACAAGCAACAAGATATGAAAAATTAACAATACACATAACAATATACACGTTTTGCACAATATACTAGTGTTGAGTTCGAGTCCACCTAAGTTGAGTCCAAGTCTTTAACCAATCGAGTCCGAGACAAGTCAGAGTCCAAAATGGGCCGAGTCGGACTCAAGTCTGAGTCCCACGAAACTCTCTTATATATTAGTATTTTAACATTGTTTTAACCTTTACAACTAGAAAAACGCAATATCCATATAATTTGTAACCGAATCTAATTTGTAACCATTCGAAATAACATTTTGAAGAAGTGTTGTTGGAGCTGTGAAGCAATATGTATATATAAGAATGTTAATATAATATGATCATTTTATTGAATTTTAATTTGTTATAATTAAGAAGAATATTTGTACTATTAATGTATGAGCTTTTATTATCACTTGTCCTGTCCTGATGAAGGAGTCAGTTATATTTTTGTAACAAGCAAGAGGCGTAGGAATAGAGTTTTCTTTCTTTCTTTTTTAAACTACAGTTTTCTTGCTAACACTTTTTAATTGTTTCATTGTTGTTTGCTTCAACCCACAGAGTAAAGAAAAACAACCCCAGCAGCAGTATAAAAGTAGCCCAATTCCACGGGAAAACAACATGTTTTTGCTTCCACTCAAAATAGGCATTTACAACATGGTATAATAAATGATCTGTTTGATATTTTGGGGGATGAATTTATGTTTTATTAAAAGTGTTGGTTTTAATGTTTTCTATGCTCATATCTATATTATTTTATGTTTTTACATATTCTTTTAACATTTACTGATAATAAAATTAATTTTAATCCAGTCAATACATCATACATAATATAATATATCAAATCAAATCAAATCTCTTTATTGTCACACATTGTGTACACTACACACGTATACTGATGGTGAAATTCTTAGGTACAAGACTCGCAGTACAAGCAACAAGATATGAAAAATTAACAATACACATAACAATATACACGTTTTGCACAATATACTAGTGTTGAGTTCGAGTCCACCTAAGTTGAGTCCAAGTCTTTAACCAATCGAGTCCGAGACAAGTCAGAGTCCAAAATGGGCCGAGTCGGACTCAAGTCTGAGTCCCACGAAACTCTCTTATATATTAGTATTTTAACATTGTTTTAACCTTTACAACTAGAAAAACGCAATATCCATTTAAATGTAACAAAAGCAAACCTCTATTGCATCTTGCCATTTTGATTTTTTATTAAGTTTGCTAAGCAAAGCGGGACACTAATTATTAAAGTCATGTAACAGAAGTTATGGCACACACTGTGTATAAAAGCCCTACATATACTTTCCGTAAGTCACAGCCAACTCACACCTGTTTTATTTTTGAATGCATTTATAGTTACATAAATTACATTATGTAAGGAATAATTGATTAGAGGCCGTTGAATTATTAGAAAATAATGCACACCCAAGGGGATTTTGGACCCATAAAAACTATTGCCGCAAAGATGTCCGAAAATTTTTTTTTCTTTGAAGCTAGAAACTGCCACTAATACAAAAGTAAAAAAGAATAAACTAATGTAATAAAACATTCTCAAGCTTACTGAAGGCAAGTAAACACTCCAAGTATTACTTACAAGCTAAATGATAAATAAATATATTACTCAAAAATACAAATTAAATAGTTTTGAAAAGTTTTTTAGCAGTAAAGGCTTCTACAGAAATAGCCTACTACAGACATTTCATGAAGTAAAAATAATCTTCACTGTATACATTAAATATAGATGATTCTTATTAAAGTTAATAAGTGATTCAGCCAAGAGCAGTGAGTGATTTTCTCTTTTTCTTTCGTTTGATTAACATTTATGACGCAGTCGGCGGCTGCAGGTTTACGCTGTTGCTTAAAGATCTGACGCATAGATCAAATATTTTGACACATCTGTATTTCTCCCAACTGTTCAAGTTCACTTAAGACAAAACCGACTGCATTTACATGAATAGTCTCCAAGA